TCCTTAGCATACTTACTTACATAATCCATTTCAAGCCCAGTTCACAAAATAAAATCGGAAATTAAATTCACAAGCAAAAATTAAGAAACAAATGAGTTGTGTAATAGACCATATGGCTTAAAATAAAGACTTTCTTTATATTAAGTAAAACATTCACTATTGCGGAAAATACAAAATATTTGAATGAAAGAAAAAAGCATTTCCAACTTACATTACTTGTTTTGATGTTGATGGTGTCGAAACACTGAATAAATCGTCACACCGTCGCTTTTTCAAGGAAGGTGCACATGTTTCTTTTAATCCACTAACTTCTTGTTCATTTCCAGCTGTATGTATCGAATGTTTAAAACTTTGCATTAATTTCTTTATAAAAAGCGTCAAAAAAACATGTCTTTCAAAGTTCATCATAAACTTAACATAATATATGAGAAATTTCCGAGATTTCATGGTCTTTGTCAATAACAACTTCTATCACTTGCTTGAATATAATGAAAAGAAACAAAGTGGCCAACAACATTACATATTAAATTAAATTAAACTTTGTAGTTATTCAACAATATTTGTAATATAAAAATATATAGACAAACCTAACTGGGAACAAGCAAACTCATGCAGAGCACGTTTTTGTGCTTTTGTCATTGTTAGTTCTTCCACATAACGTTTGACTTGCCGGTCTCGCTTAAATTCATTATTGAGAGAAAAATGAAAAAATTCAATAACCTGGCGTAACACATAACAATTTGTGCAAAAATTAATCATCTACAACTTTAGAAACATGACTACCTCTACTCTCGTGAGTATTATTTGCTACCTTTGGACTTTTTTATTTCTGATTCCAATAAGAGAATTTCTTGTGAAAATACGACTCCATGCTTTTTCCCGCAACCAAATTAGAATATGCTTATTTCTACAAAGCTCGAAGTCATTTTATCGTAATTTTTTTCCCAAGCCATATTTTTGCACAAATTTTACAAGATTTTTTGAAACCTAATTGGACAAACGATTTAACGCAAAAAAAAATAACGTTGAAGCGCTCAAAACTTTTTCTAAAAACCTAATTTGCCTAAGCGTAAAAGCTAGATAAAATTATAGAGAATAGCTTTTTAACTGATCTTGCACTGAGGTCATAATTAGATTTCAGACAATCCACAAATCGACGATAGTAGAATTATTACCAATAGTTTCTTTTTGAATATAGGTACATTTTTGCCATCAAATACAATCACAGGACGTATTTTATAGAATAAAAGTTTGGACAGACGTTTTAATACTAATGATAAATGAGGACACTTCGCACTTAATTGATGGTCCGCGTATCCATGAGCAGCCTGATGAAGCCAGATAGAAATATCTATAACAGTAAAATATCCCTAGAGATCACTTTTAACATTTTTTGGTAAAGCAATTGATCAAAAACTTTTGCAAATTTAAATACCTATTGTACATAAAATCGCCATCAAAAACTTGATAGTCAGCATAGCATTTCGCTACATATCAAGCTACACTTTTAAACCCCTGCTACCTTAAATTCTTGACTGATTCCTTGTCCTTAGATTTTTTAATTCTTCAGATTCATATGCGGCAACAATATACAGGTCGTTCAAAATAAAACATCAGATCCATAATACTTGACAAAATAACTCCACTTTTTAGTTATAACGAACTGAACAAGATGAATTACACCTTTTGAAACGCTTTTCGTTTAAAAAACCTGCTATGAATTTCGCTCCAGTGCTTATACTGTCAACACATACATGGAAAGTTCCTTTTGGTAAGATTTAGAAGACCTGCATTCATATTCCAGATAAAAACAAACCTACTGCAAGTCGTTTTCCTTCAAGAGATTCTAACGTAACCGGCTGCGCCACAGGCTCCAATACCTGCCATAGTCCTCCAATACCCATATCTACAATTCAGCACCAAAAACTTGATTCTTTTAAACAAAAAGTTTCCCTATGAAGCTGAAATCATCCGGAATAACAACAGTCCAAATCATAATTATAATCTAGCATTACAATTACAAATAGCAAAAAGAAGTTACTTATTTGGAATAAAAAAATTTGAATGAAAGTCTTTATTCTATAATCCTCATTTACAGACTACATCATCTGATGGAATTCCTTCAACAATGAAGCTTACTGTGAAAAATTTGTACTGCGAAAGATTTCTCTGAATTGACGTGGCAAACAAATATTCATTCTTAAGTAATATTTACAACAATCGCTATAAACAAAAGGCCCACTAAGGGCTATAGCTGTGCCTTTTTACGTCACTCTGCACTATCCTTAGACAACTGAATTATGAATACAGAAAAGTTGTAATAAAAATAAATGAAAATCAAGAAATGATCAAAACTATATTTTTTTTCTCATACCTTATTTACTACTGATAGATGTATGGCGGTATTTGGTATGCATAATTGCTACTCACAAATAACTTTCAAAAGTTACTTCACTAAGATCCTTTTTCATTATTACATATACACATATGGCATCTACCACTTTGCATTAATTATCCACATTGAAACCATGAATTTCAAAGTCCTGCAGGGTAACTATGATGAACTGGTACTAATGAAAATATTTGTCTCATCACACTTTTTGTTATTGTTAATGCACAAAAATCTAATTTTTAGATAAATAAAATATACAGCAAACCTCTAAATCCATTGTCGTAATTTATTCGTTTATTTATATAAAAACATCTATTGCCTGGAATTTATTCTTAAAGACATTACGATGTTTAAATTAGTTAAAAGCATGAATGAAATATTTTTTATTAATAATTTTTTAC